TATTCTACGACATAATTTGCTTTTATGTTTAATGATATAATAAACAGAATATTATATGGTCAGCTGGAGATACCAATTTTATTTTCTCGTCTTGAAAATCTTTTCAACACTCGAAGATAAAATCCGTATCTTCGTTCGCCCATGTAATATTCTCTATATCTTTGCTCGCCTATGTCCTATGTAATATCCTCTATATATCACAGGTGAACGTCCATTCAAGTGTCCGTACGAAGGGTGTGGTCGTGCCTTTACCACGTCTAACATACGTAAGGTCCATATACGTACCCATACTGGGGAACGTCCCTATATCTGTGAGGCGATGGGTTGTGGACGAGCATTTGCCAGCGCTACGAACTTTAAGAATCATTCTCGTATACATACAGGTTTGTACTAGGTTCTTTTAATTGTGGTATTTTCGGGCTTCCTGTGGCCACAGGAAGACCGTGATCGTGACAACGAAGAACAATCTATTTTGACAGAACTTCAAATGAAATAATAATTCTTTTCGGCCTTAACGCTTTGTTTTCAGATAATTTTAAAGTGCCACTTGCATGAAAATGGCCTTATTTCAAATCTTCATGCAATACAAATATATGACTATTTATATCTATTAAAAGCAATTGCGGGAAAATATTTGTTTTGGAATTRTCCCACATCAGRGAAAKTTTGATTCAAAAGATGGAAGAACAAAAGGATGGAGTAAATGACGTCATCTACTCAAACATTTTTTGCCCAAATTATTAAGGATTTGTATCAATATCTTCTTGATATCTGTTGCTTCGTGATTATTAGACCCATATGGATATGTCTACTTGATTTCCAAGTGTTTTCTAATGTTTGGCAATTTTCGTCCAAGTAGCCCTTTAATATCTTTTTCTCTCTTGTTCTTTTCTCTAACACATCTCTTGCTTCAATTGTTTATTTGTCGTTACCATGTCTACCTTGCTCCTATTGGTCTACTTTCTTTGCTCCTTTAATTATATAAACTCTTAGCCTAGTTTTATCTCTTTACTCCGACGAAGGATAACGTCCGAAACACAATAAATTGTTTCACCTACTTTTTTACGGTGTTAAAATTATTTTTTTACCCAACTGCAACTTTAATTGCCCTAGTTCATTATGACGTCACATCAAAACATTTATTGTTTTAACGCTATGGATTATGGTCGCCAGAAGGGATCAGAGTGACTGCATATCAAATAAAATGTACATGAAAAACAATCGTTTATACATGATATATATCAAAACACCGGATTCATTGAAGTTCTACTTCAGTAGACAATATAAATGGGTCCAAATTTCCACTGTTTTTGAGCATCGTTTTCCGATGTAAACATACTGTGACGTCATAATGAAATAGGGCAATTGAAGTAAGTACATTATTTGGAATCTTCTCATTTGTAAAACGCATATGAATCTTGCGTTATTATTTTTATAATTATGTTTGCATTTTATCATCTCAGGTGAACGTCCATATATCTGTCAAGTACATGGCTGTAACAAGAGATTCACTGAGTATTCCAGTCTATACAAGCACCACGTGGTCCACACCCACAACAAACCGTACACATGTAATATATGTAATAAGACTTATAGGCAAACATCTACACTGGCCAACCATAAACGTACTGCTCACGGAGAAATAGATGGTACGTATTCGCATTAATTAACGCTCTACGTGTTTGCGTAAACTATACCCACAACAAACCATACACGTGTAATATATATAATAAGACTTATAGGCAAACATCTACACTGGCCAACCATAAACGTACTGCTCACGGAGAAATAGATGGTACGTATTCGCATTAATTAACGCTCTACGTGTTTGCGTAAACTATACCCACAACAAACCATACACGTGTAATATATATAATAAGACTTATAGGCAAACATCTACACTGGCCAACCATAAACGTACTGCTCACGGAGAAATAGATGGTACGTATTCGCATTAA